AAATATAGCATGAAGACATCTGACCTAATTATTTTTATTGCTATATCAAAATTTTCCTCTTCTCTATGGTGAAATATTGACTTTCTTAAATTGGCACAACCAGGATTTCTTAAATATTGAGGTTGGAGACATTGAACTTTCACTTTTTAATTCTAGTGTTTGATGATGACTCGTAGTTCAACTTGATTGAGCTTCTTTATTATCTTTTTAGACAGTCGTTTTACTTCCCCCTTTCACTGTGCTTGATGAGCAGCGGCCACGGTGACGGGGCCTGGCGGTTTCTGTTGCATCTACATCAACTCCACGACAAACCCACCGTCGGAAGGGATGACTGGCACAGGCGACGCTGTCCTCATTTCCTTCATGATCATGCTGGTCATAATAACCTACTTCTGCACCGAATGGACGATCATGACCTTGAACCCGCAGTTCGGCCTTGAGGCGGTGGTGGTGGCGGCGCCGACCAACGTCGAGGTCGGTATCGACCAGGCTACGCTGATGCGCTACCCGAGGGTGACGTACTCGCAAGCCAACCTGGACGACAAGGGCACCACCGCTGGTTGCTGTTGCATATGCTTGTACGACTTCGAGGACACCGACGTCCTGCGGCTGCTGCCGCAGTGCGGGCACCCCTTCCACCTCGACTGCGTCGACCCGTGGCTGCGGTCGCACTCGTCGTGCCCCATTTGCCGCTCCTTTGCGGCGCCACGGGCGGAGGTCGTGTCATCGACGCAGCCAACACGGTCGCAGTGAACGTAAACATATATTTAATTTCATAAACGTGAAGATTATTGAAATTAAACTTGTTATGATATCATAAAAAACATGAAAAGTTATTGAAATTAAACTTGTTATGATATCATAAAGAAATTCATTTTTATCAAGGTAATGGATTCATTGCATCAACAAAAAAATACAAAAGTATAAACTAAATTAACTATTGATTCTTTAAAAAAAAATTAAATAATTTATTTTAAATATAATTAATATAATGTATAAATGAGGACTATATAAATTATATATGTTGGGTTATGAAATAAGAGTTTTTGAAGTTGTACGACGAAAGATAGCTCTATCTCTTCTCCTTATCTATTTCAATATTTGGCATCAGAGCTCAAGTTAAGCTAAGACTTCTTTCCTAAGTACCATCCAACTCAAGATCCCTAAATTGATAAAAAAAATTATGATATATGATGCATCCAAATGAAGATTTTTTCTAAGCTCTCAAGATATATAGGAGTTTGTAGAAGATGTATTTGTTAAACCAAGTCCAGTAAATGAAGGAGCAATGATATAGAAGTAACACAATAACTTGAAGATGGAAGGAAGGAGAAAAAAGTTTTATTCACGATTTACCAAGGGCTTGATGATATAATGTTTAAGATCATCACTCCAGCAAATACTTCCAAAAGAGACTTGGAAAATGCTTAAAAGATCATTCTATAGTATGGATAAGGGAAAAAAGGCTTCCAAGCTGAGTTTGAAAAATTATAGTAAGATTATTTCTATTATGATGAAATGATGAATAAATAAGTGATCGAAGAGTAATAGAAAAAATATTAAGATATCTAGATCCAAAGTTTGATTTATTACTATAGCGATTGAAGGGTCTAAAGATTTATAACAAATGTCTTTAGAACAACTAATGAGTTCTTTTAAAGTTCATGAACAAAGGCTTATAAAAAGAGGAGAAGAAAAATCTATAGATTAAGCATCGTAAACCAAGTTTCCTCTTAAAACAGAAGTGAATCAAAATCTCAAAAAGGAAGAGATTGCAGAAATCAAACTAATCAAGAATATTAAAATAATAAAGGTGATGGAAAAAATTCTAGCCAAAAAGGCCAAGGTTATGGTCGAGGATGTGATAGAAATTTTAAGAGGTTTGAAAAATAATGCCATGTTTGTATGGACACTACTCATTTGATTATTATTATAATCCTAACAATCATGGTGACAAGGTAAATTTTATTAAAAAAGAAAAGAACAAAATTAAGTTTTACTAATGACTTATGATAATTTGAAGGAAGATCAATGACATAGTATCTAGATAAAGGAGCTTCAAATCACATGTGTGGTATCAAAGAACTATTTTTGAAAATAAATACAAGTTATTTCGGGAATATTACATTTGGTGATCTATCTCAAAAACTAGTAACAGGCAAAGGTAAATTTTTTCTTGGACTCAATGGCAAAGAATTATGCATTTCATATGTTTATTTATTTTCTCTGATATAAAAAAATAATATTCGGAGCAATTACTTTAAAAAGATTATAATATTGAGATGAAATATATAGCTCTTTCAATTTGTGATAAGAATAAAACATTAATAGAATGTTTTATCTATGTTTATGTATTTTTGATCAATCAAATTGTTTTAAAATTAATATCAAGGATATTTCTACATCATGACATCTTAAATATATTCACTTAAATTTTGAGGCTTTAAAACTTATAAAGAAGTTTAATATGATGATAAGAATGTCAAGAATTGATCGCCATCAAAGTTATATGAAGTATGTGTCATGGGCAAACAAGAAAGAAAACATTTCAAATTAAGAAGTACAAAAAGAGCATGACATCGACTTGATCTAGTGCACTCAAATATTTGTGGCTCTATCAGTCCTGTATCACTTAGAGGAAGTATATATTTTCTTACCTTTATTGATGATCATAGTGGCAAATCTTAGGTTTACATGTTAAAGGAAAAGAAATAAATTCTAAGTAAATTCAAAGAATTTAAGGATTTAGTTGAAAGATAAAATGGTCGTAAGATTAAATGTTTAAAAATAGATAAGGATGCTGAATACATATCAAATAAATTTAAATTTTTTTATAAAAATAATAAAATTTTACATCAATTTATTATGTCATATACACCTCAACAAAATGGTATCTTAAAAAGAAAAAATAGGACTATACTTAATATGGTCTGATGTATGTTAAAATAAAGAAGAATTCCTAAAGAATTTTAGGGAGATACTATTGCTTATGTAGTTTATTTGTTTAACAGGTTTCTGACAATGCGAATTGATAATGTTACATTGGAAGAAGTATGAAACGTACAAAACCAAGAGTCGATCATTTAAGAATTTTCAAAAATATTGCATTTGCTAAGATACCAGAAGAAAAAAGAATAAAACTTGAGGATAAAAGTTAGAAATACATATTGGAACTAGAAAAGTAATGAGTAGCATAAGACAGTTATGACTTTAGAATATGACACCAAGTTAATAAGGAAAGTGAAGGTAAATCAATTAATCCAACTTATTATAAAAATCTAGCTAGATGTTTAAGATATTTGATATGCACTTGACCTAATATACTATTTGGAGTTGGTTTAACAAGTAGATACGTGGAAGCTCCTAAGACATCTTATTTGAATGTCGTCAAAATAATTTTATGAATATTAAAAGGACAATTCAGTATGAAATATTTTATTCATTATCTAAAAGGTTGAAACTCATTGGATATAATAACAATGATCAGGTTGGAAGCTACAATGATTGGAATAGTATAGTTGGATTTGTATTATATGGTGACGCTACATTCACATTGTCTTTCGAAAAATAATATATTGTTGCTCCATCAAGTTGTGAAGCAATATATAGTAGCATCTTCTTTTATTTGTCATGCAATATGACTAAGAAGATTACTTTTAAAACTTTATATGTCATAGGAGAAGTCAATCAAGATTTAATATTGATAAAAAATCAATTATTATCTTAGCTAAGAATCCAATCTATTATGAAAGATCGAAGCATATTGATATAATATTTCATTTTATGAGAGATAAAGAAGTTGAGTTACTTCATGTGAAGACAATAAACAAGTGATCGATATATTTATAGAATCTTTCAAATTTGAAATATTTCAATAGATTCGAAAAAAACTTGACATGTAAACAAGTTTATGGAAAGAGACTGTTTGAATTAAACTTGTTAATGTATCATAAAAAGATTCATTGTATCAAGAGAGAAGTTCATTGCAAACACATAATGACAAACCAAATTGACCATTAATTATTGGAAGGATTTATTTGAAAAGAGTAATTTATTTCAAATATAATTAATATAATACATCTATGAGGACTATATAAATTCAATATATTGGGTACATAGAGTTTTTAAAATTGTAAAGAATTTTGAGTGAAAGATATAATATTTTACTTTATTATAATTTTCTTTTATGATAGCTCTATCTCTTTCTTCTTATCTATTTAGTGATGCAGCAACAGGCACTCGGTGGCGTAGGATACTTGGTAATACTCGTCTGGCTTATGGTGTAGATACTGTAACTGAGAGAATTCAGGTACGCATAACCTTTACTAGCTAGGTCTCTTTTGCCGCTGCCAAGTAGTCGTGCCTCACTTTCACATGCTTTACGTGAGTTTATCTTCCCCTCATTTCAAGTCAAACAAACATCTGCACATAAAATTACATTTAGAAGGCAAATGGGCATTAATTAGTTAATTAGGTTCGTGGATGGCTTGTTCTTGTTGTTGTTATACCGATTTCGTGGATTGGAAGGTTGATATTGAGACGACTTGACATCAAGAAAGCCGCCTCAGATGTTGAGCTGAGCTTAGAGATGACCGTGCCCGTGTTTCACTTTTCCGTCTTCATTCCCCATTTTTCTTGGAGGCAGTCAACGTAGAGAAAAATATTGAGCAATTATGAGTTATATAAATTCAGTGATGACCATTGACTGTTCTCGTTCTTGAATGATGCACACCGTGGCCATGTGTTAAAAACTTGATGTGATGCAATGAACTTTGTTTAATCACTCGATTTGTCTTCTAGTTTAGGACCCAAAAAAAAACCCAATCTGGAATACCATAAGAAAGGCACTAAACATTCAGTCAGGGTAATACTTGATGGCATATTATTGTACTCGAGACTTTGGTTTTGCTTGTCAAGGAAGAAATCAATTGTTTACATCAGATAAATATTCATTTTTGTTCTTCAGGCAGCCTGTGAAGCTTCCAGTGAGTAACCAGTAGTTGTGCACCTGTACACGACTCTTCACAGCTTTAGTTCCTCCAATGTGTGCTTTTCCTTTGGCATCAAGAAACCAATCGTTTAAAGTCCACGCTAATGCCACAGACATGTTAGCCTAGCTATAACCTTTTGTCGTAAGATTAAGACAGCAGTGGACCGATCGGAAAGCTCGATCGCTAATCTTCCCCTCTTCACCATACTCGATGAGGAGCGGCCACGGTGACGGGGAGGATGGGGATTATGCGTGCATCTCTTGTGTTACCAACTCCACTGGAAGCCACCCGACGGAGCTGCTGAACGGGTTAGGCTACGGCCTCGGCATTTCCCTCATGATGATGCTGGTGCTCACGGCCGTACTCGCGGCCTACTTCTGCGCCCGAAGAAGTAACGTGGCCACGAATCCGCAGTCAGGGAATGAAGCCGCGGCGCCTGCCGATGTCGAGGCCGGCATCGACGAGGCGACGCTGATGCTCTACCCGAAGATGGCGTACTCGCAAGCTAAGCTGGAAATGAAGGGCACCGCCGCGACGTGCTGTTCCATATGCTTGGCCGACTACCAGGGCACGGACGTGCTGCGGCTGCTGCCGGAGTGCGGGCACCTCTTCCACCTCGACTGCGTCGACCCGTGGCTGAAGTCGCACCCGTCGTGCCCCATGTGCCGCTCTTTACAGGTGCCCACCCCCATTGCCACGCCTATGGCGGAGGTTTGTCATTAACGCTGCCAATACAGTCGCAGTGAATGTATCTTAGATAAACATTATTTGATACTAATATTAGTATAAAATCTGTAATCATACTATCTGTAATGCGAAAAAATTTTTTATGTTAAGTTTGGAATCAAATAAAATTAGATCTAACAATATTAAGATGCGTACCTTTTATTGTTATTTAGAAAAATAAATCTTATCTGATATTAAACATGTATTGATACTAATGTTAGCATAAAATATATAATCATGTTATTAATGTAAAAAAACTAATATGCCAAGATTGAAATCAAATAATTGCTAAGATGCTACACTTTAACCCCTTAGAAGTTCTGTCTATTTATAGACGAGAACAATGGTCTAGAATAAGTTAATAGGAGAGTTCGTCGATTATCTCCTAAAGAATCCTAATTTAACTAAATCTAACAACTAATCGATAACAACTAATACATAATCTAACAACTAATCGATATTACATGTTCTCGTCCAAAATTAAATGTATGCAGCAGCAGGTATTAATTTGTTGGCGCAGTATACTTTATAATGTTGGTTGGCTGTATGGTGTAGCTACCGTTAAATGAGAATTAATTGGCTGAGCAGATCATCACGTGTTAAGTACTTGTATAGCTTTCGAAGAAGAGCATCATCGAGTTAATCGTTTGGGGCTTTTCCATGCTCCGAGTAATATTACTACTTCTTGTATGCATCTACATTCTTTGATACAACACTTTGTCCACTGTTCATCAAGCCTAAGACAAAGCACTCATCTCAGAGATCAAAAGAGGAGGCTGAACCATCGCTGGCTCGATTTATTTTAGTGTTCTTCGTCTTCTGGGCAGCTCGACTGAACTCGATCCTAAGATCTCATATTTTAGTGTTGGAAGTACTTTGCATGGGCCTAAGATCTCATACTACCCACTCAGGGCAATGGGTATGTTTCTTCTGCCAGTAAGCAGGGAATTAGAATATCACTCTCATATTACTTTGCATGGGCCTAAGATCTCATATTACTCTCACACAAGCAAATTGAATTTATGATCGATCTTAATCTAGTACTATATTAGTGAATTAGAATATCACTAATGTAATTGGAGGACTTATTCGATCCAGTATATATGTATGGGGTTTACTTGTTTTGGTTGTAAAGAAAATAAATGGGTTAATAAGATTTTTATATTGGCTATAGAACCAAATGACAATAAAAAAATAAATATTTATTTTTTAAATCCCAATGGATGATTTATTAAACTAAGTATATGATCGTGATTAGTTTATACTCGAAGATTAATTTAAGGATCGAATATCATGAGTTAAAAAATGACAAGGAGATAGATGAAAGTTTGTATTGAAGATAAGATATGATCATTATGAGTTTTTAGTAATATCTTATAGACTAATTAATGCACGACTGCTTTTATGGATCTGCCAAGTAAAGCTTTTCATCCATATCTAGACAAATATATGAACTTATCGATAACATCATAATATACTCTGAGATTAGGGTTGAATATGAACATCATCCCAAAATAATCTTGGACATTCTAAGATAGGAGAAACATTATTTTGAGTTGAGCAAGTGTGTGTTCTTACTCGATGGATTTATGTTTCTTCGGTATATGAGGTTTCTATATAGATACATAGAAAATCTAAACAATGATAAATTAGTGTCTTGAATATCAATGATTTCATAGAGTTTACTCGATACTATAGAATATTTGTAAATGACTTTTCAAATATTCTAGATATTTGTTGACAGAGAAAAATATAGAATTTATTTTGGATGATAGGTGTCCCTAAACCCTTTTGTTGCTTTTCAAGTAGGGTATCTTTCAAAGTATTTTCAATAGAATTGATGGAGTTATCATATTCAATCAAAGAGGTAAATTAGCTTCTAAATTTATAGGTATTTTGCTTATGGAAGATTGGATATATGGATTATCAATTGGTGTAGCCCCCAACACATGATATGTTTTATATATCAATGATCCTAAAATATATAAGGGATCTATCTAATGTTATTTCTTACCCACCACGAGATCACTACATATGTGGATGAGAGATGATGCTGTTTTTTCATAAGAGCAAATTCAAACTTTGAAAAGGAAGATGTAGATTATGAGAAATAAGATTATACCTCTAGTAAGATCAGCATCATTCATATTAAGAAGTCACTCAGAAAATGGAAGAGGATGCCAAAAATTGGCATTCATATTATTTTTTTATAAGGTAAATCAAATTTGGAGACTCAATTCTTGAAAAGGGAGGAAACAATCACCAAAATTTTTTATTATTTTCTAAATCAAGAATTTCCTAATTAATATTTCACCATATTACACAAGTGTATTTTATTATGGTGATAATTTTTTAACTACTAAGATTATTCCTTATTTTGAATAAGCAAAAATATAACAATATAATTAAATATTGATTATGAAAATTAAGAATAAGGATTTATAGCATAAATGACATCCTCCTCTCTCATAAGTCAAATAGACTCTTCTCGGTGATCCGAAAAAGTTTGACGACGAGGAGTAGAAGAGGAAGGATAGTGAAGGATAGTGATTATTGTCGAGAAGATCAATAAGTCATTCTTTTCAGATTCTTTTCATTGGTAGAAGAAATCAATCTTTATTTTTATTTAATTTATTATTGAGAGAATTATATAGGTTTTCTTCATCCATTATTAGAATAATAAGAACTCATCCAATGGGGTAAGATTTTTTCCTTATGATATTAAGAAAATACACACTTATGCTACTATAAACAATGATAACATATGTTATATAATTGGCATTGAATAACATTGATTTATGATTATTTTATCTTTTTTTATAAAGTTAGTTATGAAAATTTATCTCTAGGAGATTAATGTTGCTGATGTATTTTTATTTTATATTTATTTTTCGTATTGACTTAGATAATAAAGATAGATATTCGCTTATCCCTAAATAGTCATGCCAAGAAATTCTAACATGTCATAACTTGTTGTTCAAGTTTATTACCTTTTAGGCTGTTGTTTTATTTTGAAAAAAAATATTTAAAATTTCTGTCTTGAAATAAAATTGTTTCCATCTCTATATTTCTGTAGATTGATGTAAGTCGAAAGATGGCTATATTGTGTGTTTGGCACGATCTGACGATATTGACCAACAACCTTTTGTTCTTTGGCTGCCGCAGCACATCCAAAAGCTCGCAAGTCTTCTCCTCCCTTCTTCAGCATACTTGACGAGCAGCGGCCATGGCGACGGAGTACGGGTTCAACAGGTGCATCTTTTGTCAAAGCAACGCCACTGGAAACCAAATGTCGGAGCTGCCGACTGAGATGTCCTACTTACTCTTCGTTTCGTCCATTCTCACATCCGTGACCGTGATCACGTTCTACTGCTGCGAACGATGGAGAAACGTGGCCGCGAATCCTCATTTCGGCAATGGAGCGGTGGAGCGGACCGACGTCGAGGACGGAATCGACGAGGCGACGCTGATGAGCTACCCGAAGGTGACGTACTCGCAGGCTAAGCTGGAGGAGAAGGGCGCCACCGCGACGTGCTGTTCCATATGCTTGGGCGACTACAATGACACCGACGTGCTGCGGCTGCTGCCGCAGTGCGGGCACCTCTTCCACCTCGTCTGCGTCGACCCGTGGTTGAGGTCGCACAGGTCCTGCCCCAATTGTCGCTCCTTGCCGGCGCCCGGCCCCGTGGCCACGCCTCTAGCGGTCGTGTCATGAACGTCGCCAACGCCATCGCAGTGATCGTAATCATATATAAACATGTATATATATATGTATAACTCAATAGGATGTCGAGGTCTCGTCCAAGTAGTGTCTTTGTTGTTGTAGGATACTGATTTTAGTGTATGGTGTAATACTGTCAAATGAAAATACAGTACTTGTCGGGTTGTATGGCAGTAATGTTTCAGATCTCCTTATTAAAAGTTAGGTAAGTAAACTAATATATTTTTGAACACTCTAAATGTTTAACGATAATATAATATACCAAACTCACTTATGAAAGGAAAGTTTGAAAGGTTCAAATTTCATCCGATATATCATTTGAATCTGTTGATTAGCTTAACTAATAAAGGTTTTGACAATTCATTATAAGCACCTGATCTTTTGGAAATAAAAAATAAAAAAGGCATATCATCACTTGTTAGGCTCCATTTATTTTAGTATTCTTCGTGGCTATGCTGAGCTTGAGTCCATTTCCTCTATGACCTTCTTCTATGCTAATTAAATTATCTAGTGTTTGCTTATGTTTGTCGGAAGTATTGTGCATGCGGATGAAATATCTAATTGGTATTTAATTCAAATATTAGAGAAATATTTCGTAAAAAATGGTACATTACTATATATTTCCTATACTACACAGGAGGCAGATATTTATATTTTATCATGATAAAATTTACCTATTTATAGAGCCATAGAAGAAAGTTATAAGACTCCATTGTCAACGTTATATTCATATATTTTTATTATATATAGCATATCTAATTTCTTATTGGTTATTATTTTTATAACCTCCTTGATGATGATTTTTTATCATGGTGTAACCTCTCCATTCTTATTAAATTCTAGAATTATAATTGTTTTCACTCGTGTAGTCTTCATCTTGAAAAAGAACTCCAATTTGAGGAGCTTGGTGAAAATATTCATAACTTGATTGTCGAATTTGATGTAGTCCAATGAAATTTCCTTCTCCTGATTTGATCTGGAGTGAAATCATTTATAAAAGACTAGGTTCTTCGCCAATATAATCCTTGATTTGTTATCAATATTTATCTTTATTATTGATCTTATGAATAATTAATAGTTGTCTAAGACTAAGAATATTGTTTTTGATATTCGGCACATAATAAACATTTGAAAGAAATTGATTACTTCCATCTTTGAGATGGATCAAGATATTACCTTTACCTCTAATCGATATTTTGGAGGAGTCTCCAACGTAAACTTGTCTATTCATTGCTTCATCCAACTGTAACTCTGTAAAAAGATTTTTGTAACCACAAATATGATTGTTAGCTCTAGTGTTTTAAATGATTTTAAACGATGATATCTTCTTCTTTTATGTGCTAGCAACAAAAAATAATCATTCTTCTTTCTTTTCAGCATAGTTAGTATATTTTTCAATTGGATTGTTTTTGTTGTGATGGCATTTGGAAGCATAATCACCATATTTTTTCAATAATATTATTGAATCTTGAAATAATTATACTTTTGACCTCTTTTATTTCCTCTTTCTTGTTCTTATTTTATACTTTGATCTTTTTCATTATTTCTTTCTCTTCCTCCTTGGCCATATCCTCTATCATGACTATGGGCTCTTGCACGTCCTTAGCCTCATCCATGATCACTTGAGCCTTCATTTCTTTCTCTCATGATGAGCTTTGTATGGAGAACATATTCCATTGTATCTCGTTTATTTTTTGACTAAATATTTATATACTTGCAAAGAACTCATTAGCTTATCCATAGTCATGATAGAGATTGTGATAAAATTAAACTTTTTATATAGTGATTGAAGTACTTTTTTTACCACATAAATACCTTCTAGATTCTCACCATTTCTTCTTACTTGATTGATAATGGTAAGAGCTTTAATAAAATAATTAGAAATAGTCTCAGACTCAATTATTAGTAATGTTCTAAATTTAACTAAGTGTTTGATGTCGAATTTTTCTCATCTTCTTAACACTTTTGAAGAAGTTCTGCATTAAATTATGTAGCCATATTTAATTAGATAAGATATATTATAGATATAATTGAATTATGATTACTCAGTCAATTGAAAGAAAGTTCAATTATAGTAGTATTCCTTAGGAGATGACTTTGATGAAAAGGATTCTCCTAATTATTTATCCTACATCCTTTACTCTCATATATAAATAGACAAGACCTCCTAATAGCTCAACATGGACATGTCATGTGATGTTATTAAGAGATAACATATCTTCTCTTATTTCTCCTTAATCACGTGAATTAATTATCAAGATATTATAGATCTTCTCTCATCTTTCATTGTCCCTATTTCATCACTAATAGTGGTCTTATGAATGGTAGAAAGAGAGGATAAGGTGAATCTAGCAATTTTTATACATCGAATCGCTATAGATTTTGGATACAACAATGGTGTATTTGTAAATCAAATAAAGACTTTCTAAATAACATAGAAAGATACACCATATATTTGATATAATATTAATTAATTTTAATTTTTGATATTAAAGTTTTTTGTATAACAATAACATATTATAATTTTTATGCTAACTTTTTGAAGAACCTCCTGAGCATCTCTGGAGGTGTTAGTGATCATAACTTTTTCAAGATTACCTTCGTCTAACCCTTAATAAATGATGAAGAGTGTTTTCTTTTCTTTCTTCATTAGGTCATTTAATGAATCTCTTTGACTCATCGTAAGGATGATATCATCTTGAGACTCATCATAGTCTCTCTCTATCACTTCTCATATGTATTGTGATCCAAACAAGACCTTTATTTAAATACTTTATTTTTTATAATTATGTTTTGTAAAATGAAGTACTTGAAGTTACATGCTATTAGCTATTTTGACTTGACTCTAATATCACTTTGATGAAAAAAAAAAAAAAAAAAGATAGAGAGAGTTCGAGAGTAAGAGTTGAGGTAATGTAAAATAAAAGTTTTATTTCTTGTAATCTATCTAATTTATTAATGATTTATTATTTTCATAACATCATTTTTCATGAAAATATTTATTATAGTATAATTTCTCTATGGTTACTAAATTTTAATATTTATAATGATTAAGAGAGAGATTTTTATTTTTTTAATTAAATTTAATTCTCTTAATAGAAGCAAGCAAGCTCTCCGAAGTGAGACCACCTACTTATCAATCCAACAAAGCCTTCATTGTCAACGAGGTAATCGATTCAGAAAAGAGAGACTCAGAAACTCGATCGTGCACTCCATCGAGGAAAAGATCATGTGCTGCTGCTGTGCCTTCCTCACCTGCCTTCACATTCTACACGAGTCGTCGTGTAAGAATGCCTATATATATATATATATATATATATATATATATATATATATATATATATATATATATATATATATATATATAGGCCTACCGTGTTGCTGTTTCTTCATCAATGGCCTACATTTTAGAACTACATAAATATATCTGCTTCACCTCACTGTTTGCCTAACTTTCACTGGTTGCATCCATTTGACTATCTGCCGATCCGAGATTCAGCTGATAGGATGCTTTTTACAAAACAGTAATCGTGAAATTTTATGATTAATTATCAAAATCTGGATCAGTTAGATTAACTGAGAAGATAAATTTTTTGGATGATAATATATTTAGATAATGTAAACTAACTTAATATTACTGATTTGACCACATGAAATCTTAGATTTACTTAGGAATAAAAAAAAATTATCATATGTAATTTGACATCAAGGTTTCTGTTAGTGATGTAATGAACTCGTGAAAACAGTAGTAGTACCAACGAAGGAGACAACTCGATGATGATGCTAACCATGCACGGAGAAGCACCACCACACAACAGACACGAGGAGGAGGAGGAGGGAAGCAAACATGTTGTCGCTTACGTGGTGCGGTCTTCTCCAAACCCGTGTTTCTCGAGGAGAGGGACAACGAAGAAAGCTTCGTTGTCCCCCGTCTCAGTAGCCGGCGATCTCCACAAGGTCACGTCATTTTAGAGCTTTCATGTCGATAACGTGTTGGCATATGGAGCAGTATGGGGACCTCGCCACTAGTTACTCCGGTACGTGGACCCGACTAAGTTATTGCTAGCTTTGGCATCCTCGATGCCGTACTCCATATAATTGGGAGTGAGATGGCAGGCATCGACCCTTTCGAATCAGATGCGAATTAACTTTGAGATGAATCTGGATGAACAAAACTTCTGTATCTCTCGCGCTTGTTTCTTCCGTGAAGACAACCCATACGCTCGACTGGAAGAAAAACAACTGAGTCACACGTAACACCTGCCCGCCACTTGGATTAGGTGGAAGCGTTTACTTTGTGGCACAGTACATCAATGAATGCGAATCATCAATGAGTGGAGGGAGACAGATGCTGACAGAGATCAAATGCTGCACAAAATGTCAAAGAGACTGTATTTAGTTTGTGAGTTGGAGTTGTGCAATTTTCGGATCGGAATTCTCTGAAAAGTTCAGAGGATTTCGAGCAATAAATTATTTATTTATTTTTTTAATGTTTGGTTGGTCGTAAATCTTTTGATATTTTATGTTTGGTTGAAATTTCAGGATTTTAGGGTATAGATAAATTCAAAAGGATAAATTAAAAACAAAACATCTCTTTTTAGATTTTTCCTGAGGATTGCCTCATATTTTTAATTTTTTTAACAATATCTTTTTTTTTTGTCTAATACCCGAAATACCTCGACTCACCTATCTTTTTTATTTTTATTTTTTTATGGATCGATCGATCGATCGAATTATAACGTTTTCATCTATACCAAAAAATATTGTACTGAAAATACTGTAATATAGTGTAACAATACTGTAAACACAATGTTTTTACAAAATTATAGTATTTTTATTTTTGTGGGTATTACTTGAAACACTGTTAACATAACGTAAAAACATTATAATTAGATCGGTTCATATTTCAGGTAAGAAGGATGCTATTAGAGAATAAAAAAAAAGAATAATATTTTTGAAAATTCGCCCAATTCAAAATCCCAAACTTATTGCTTTTCACCTTCCAATGCCATCAAGTTTTCATTGATATTACATCTCAATTCCTGTGGTATCTTTGGTATCTCAATTACAGCTGGAATGAGGGACAAAACTAAAACCAGGTGTCAATTCCAATGGAGCCATTCTTTTACCGAACAGGCAGTATGCCCAACGCTTGTGTACCAAAGGAACACGACAAGCCATCGCTCGATGAATCGACTCCACCACCAGCTTTGTAATGCAAGCCATCACTCGATACGACATCACATTGGTGGTAGAAGCAGCAGCATATGCTCCTCAATTAACGGAAGCTTCCCCTGCGATTCGACCTCTCATGGCAGACGCATTCAAAGCCACAACCCGGACTATTATCACGTACCTGATACAGCCATCAATGTCCTCGAGTGATATCACAACGGGAGACCACCATGTGCTGCGTCATAAGCGAGTTAGATAGGTGAAATGCTAACCGAGACTGCTTCCTCTTCCTGCGTTACTATTTCTTTGCACCCTGCACCTGCGAGCTCATACCCAATCGTTCATCCCGTTCTCACTGTCTTGTGTCACTCCATCATCCATAGTGGTGTGGATGCAGGAAAGGAGGGACGCCCTTCCTGAATTCCCTGTTCATGTCTAAGTACTGACCTCTGCTAGCTCGTGCTCGAAGGCACCGAGTCCTTGGAAACATGTCGATGGAGCGGGTTTGCTACGTGCACTGCAACTTCTGCAACGCGATCCTCCTGGTAGATCTCCCGCCTGTTTTCTTTCTCTTATGTTTTGGTTGACTCAGGTGCCAGAAATCGTTTTATTGTGCTTTGTATTGGAGTTAAATGTTATATTGGAATTGCTTTAAACGATTAGTCTCAAGAATTATTGTCCTCTACTGCTCAAGCCGAACAAGGCGACTCGGCATAGTAAGATCATTACAAAGCAAGTGAATTACCAGACTGAGAGATCTCATACGGCACCGACGTGATTGAGTGTGCGCTTTTGTTTCCATGTCATTAAACCCTAATTTGGGTTAACATGGTAGCACTGCATTCTCGAATGGCTTAACTCTTTTTGGGTACAATTGCTCCTTTGGGATTCTAAAGTTTCAGGACAATAGATCAGATGGATAGTCTTCGATCTTGAGCTAGAATTGGCTTGTCCATCTGTTCAAATAATCTTGATGCAGCAAAAGCTTTTGACTCTACACTATCATGCAGAAGTCCGAGCTTTGTGAAGATTTTTTTGGAAAAACTAAGAATTCGAGGATGGCATTTAATTTTTCCAACTAAAAGGTGACCTTGAAATCCATAGAAAAGAACTTGACTTGCTGCCGTTTCTTCTCTTAATCTTGCTAGAAGTAATCTGGTTCAGTGTAATGTTTTTTTCTTTTTGCTTTTCCTTTTCCGATCATGCATATAAGGAATTTATGAGTTTGAGTTCATCCTGTTCCTCCCGGGAACAATGCATGTTGCTGCCTAGAATGAGTATTCTTAATGTCTTAATTCTTCCCCCTTTGGTTCACAGTTTCCAAGATCTCTCTCTCTCTC